CTCCTAAGCAAGAACAATTAGAACAGTGCCCTTTCCTCAAAACTGAATTGAGTGCTGGGTACTCAGCTTGGTAGACAAAACGCTTAGACTTTAGTTCTCTCTGGTCCCCTCTGCTCTGCAGTGGCCTGTGCCCACCGCAAATATTCATCCATGCTAGCCTACATCTGCACCTGTGTTCTGTGCCCTTGCAGCAAATTGACTGCGCTGTCCTTTTTCCTATTCGCAGCCAGCTTCTTCAGCACTGTGCTAGGACCCATTGCTTCCTAGTTCCTGTCTTTCTCTAGCTGTCTCCTCTTGGCTCTGTACCTTTTCTAAAGACCATTCCAACACCACAAAGGAGCAACAGCTCCACTTTAAGACAGCCTCCTTGGAGCCCCTTCCCCTTCCTGCTGCTGCCTGGTTTTCAGTTGCTAGGCTCAACAACGTCTCTGAGAGCTCTGTCTTCCTTGCTTCTCACTCTCACAGAAAGGCCTAAGCAGACAAGTTCCCATATAATCACACTGAGAGGGTTTTCATCGACCCCTCAGCAACCTTCATCGGGTCAGACTCAGTCAATGGGTAAACTCCTATCTTTTGGCTAGGGATGTGGCTCAGAGGCAGAGCTTGTGGAGCATGTGCAAGTCAGGGTGCTGGGGGTGAGGATTGTGCGGCTGGGGCTGGAGACTGAGACTCGAGTGTCTCCTTAGCTATTTCAGCAGTAGGTGATGGGACTGACTATTCCCTCTTTCCTACTACCAGCTTCCTTCCTTCCCTGGTGTTCCTCTGACCTGACTGCCAGCTCCGTGTCTCTTTAACCTCCACTTCTGCAGTGTCTCTTGGTTCCCTCTTCCAGCTACATGCACTCCATAAGGGAGTTTATGCAGACTGAGGCTCTATGTCCTGGTATACCTCAAGTTTATATCTTCAGATTCATAACTCCCACTGTTTATTCAGTACATCCACTTGGATGGAAAACAGGCAAAATGGAAGGTCTTTTTATATATATAAAAAGATTTATTTATTTTTATTTTATGTATATGGGTGTTTTGCCTTTATATAGATAGGTATGCCACAAGCATGCAGTGCCCACAGAGGCCAGAAGAGGACATCAGATCCCCTGGAACTAGAATTAGTTACAGCCTGTTGTTAGCAGCCATGTAGGTGTTGGGAATCCAACCCAGAGGAACTTCTGCAAGAGGGACAAGTGCCCAGCACCATTGAGCTTTCTCCAGACCCCTAAAATAGAAATTCTGATTCCTCCCTTTGATTGGCTCTTACCGTATCTTCTCTTCCACTAAATGACACCCTGAATCTAAGAATCATCCACAATCTTTTTGTTCCTCCACTGCCTTCTCAAGTCCAACTCCAACATAATTCAAATGTGTTTAAGAAAATGAAAATAAACAAAATCTAAAATAAAGGAACACCCTGCACTCTGCTGCCACTCTGACACCAACAATCACTTACTACGCTCCCCCTGTGGACATTTGTGCTTCTATTGTGCATTTCACACACACAACGAAACTCACTCTAGTCCGCAAAGGGCCTGGAACACACTGTGGAGTCCAGGTTAAACCTCAAATTTGTGGCAATCCACCTGCTCCAGTCTTCCCAATACTTAGGATTACAGGAGTGAGCCACCACACCCTGAATAATGCTAACCTCTGAAAGCGTGAACTAGCTATAGTCGTTTCTGGACCCACCCTCTCCTTAGGGCTTTCTGTTGCCATTACAATAGTTCACAGGCTCCACAGGTTCTGGCCAATCGTGCACACGTCTAAGAGTCTCACTGCTCTGCTCTTTGGCCACAGACCCTGTCCATCCACCCTTCCACTTGCCTTTTGCCATTCATGCAATATGGCAGACACATCTCCACCTCTGGGTTTATGGCTGATTTTCTCTCATCCTGGAAGGGCTGTTCCTCTCATCCAGTCCCTGGATTTGCTAGACTTGTTTCTTCACAGCATGAGCAAAGGTGTGCAAAGCTTTCCCTGGTGACCTACGATTTTTGCTACTAGATTGTTCGTGTTGCCTCTCCTAGCTCAGAAGAATGAAAGCTCTAGAAACACCTATTTGGTGCTCAACTAGTAACTGTCAAGTGATTGCATCCCCTCAAAATTCTCCTCTGAATTTTTTCGTCCTTCCTCATTTCAATTTTGGTCTTAACCACCTCCCCTAAGGCTAGGCCCCAGTTCCCTTCTGTACACTATTCCTCTGCAGTCCCCACCCTTTGAAGCATGGCTCCTTTAAATAGACTCGGGAAAACGCTGCCGGGAAGGCGGAGCACGGACTTGGGGGCGGGGCCTGCGTGCTGCGTGCGTGCGCGTTCCGGAGGCGCCGCCGCCGCCG